CAAATTTGTAATCATTTTTCCACAGCAAGCAAGCGTTTTCTGTATTGGATGCAGGTGTTTAAAGCAATAGTGTGTTTTAAGGGCCAGTGCAGCACAAATTCTGGCCTTTGGGATAATGACAAGTGTTTTGCCTGCATAAACACTGTATATATATATTTTTTTTTTCCCCCCCTTGAGGTCCACGCACACCTAGTTTCCCTCAAGCTCATCATCTCTGTCAGGTTAATCAATAGGCACCGTATGGCAGAGGGTCAGTAATCAGTGTCATCGTGCCTTTAAATCGTGTTGAAAATTTGCTTAAAGCCTGGGCCAATTAACATCGAGATGATGAATGGATGGGTAGATGGGAAGAGCCTGGTGCTCAGGGGCTTTGTGAGAAGGAGATGCTCAGCTGTTGAGCAGCAGACACCAGCGAATAAAATCAGCCATTCATGTGAGCTCAGTCCACCCACTCTTAATGATAATGTCAATCTAGCAAAATATATACACATTGGAGTTGTCATGAGTTCATAAATCAAAGGAGTTTGTCAAAGGCATTCAGATTAACGAGGCAGCAGCAATAACAAGTCAAATTTGCATAGAGAATTGCCCGAATCTCAGTAAATTATGATCCTGTTTTTCATTTGATTATTTGCTAATGTCTCAAGAGGGAGAATGATTATATTAGCATGCAAAATCTACTCCAGAAGTAGAAATCCGAAGTATAGCAGACCAGCACATGATGACAATTAATCAGTTTCTGCATACTAGCATAAACGCGCAAGGCCCAGAAATGAACTCCTTTTTTTATTATTATTTCTCCTTGCTACTGATCCAAATGGTTCAGCTTGACAGAGACTTTATATTGCTTTAACAGTGTTCTGAATTGTGCCTGCAGGCAAGACATAGTTATGCAGCTATAACCAACCTATCCATCTGCCAACCAGATTGGAATTCTCCTATCCAAGGCTTCCATTAACCCCCACTGACAGCTCCAAACAGGATTAAGAATTTGAAAGCATAAAAAATAGTTGTGCTCTTCGCATAGACACACGCTTCTCCCCCACCTCCCCACACTTGGAAAAAGGCTGCGTCTGTACTCTTTTATAATTAGTGCAGGGCAGAACAGCACCGGAGAAAGCCTTCCCCAGTTGGCAGGGGTTTGATTTCCACCACGACGAGCGAGGCAGTACTAAAGGTAGCTCTGCCCAATTGGTAGTCCCTCGGAGTGTGTTTCTCCATGCATTATATCTATTTCCCAGCAGTGTTTTGCTGGGCTGTGTACACAGAATTCTGCATGTCAGCTCCTGTCAAACGCTTCAGTCTAGGGATTTCGTATGCGTTGTAGCATGTTGTGTTTAGTGGTGGAGGAGGCTTCGTGGGGAGAGTTAAATAGTAATAATTTTGTAGTGGTCTTTAAGACAACCTGCCATGGAGTTATATTCTGTTAATTACAGGCAGAAGTTTTAAATGCAAATCAGATTTAAAAGGATCTCATTACAGACAGTAGCCATTTTAGGAAAAATGAGCTACAGAGGGCAGAGCCCCTTTACAGGAACCTCCTGCTAGAGACAAATTATGAAGGTTACAAGAACTGTGAGCTTGAGTTTCCTGGCTTTTCTTCCCAATGCTTCCACTGTCATTGTGTGACCTTGTGCAAATAAAAAAATTATTTTACCTGTCTGTGGAAGAGGCGGGGGGGGAGGGGGCAGGGCGATATTTATCTCACCAAAATTGATCAGTTTGTGCTTTGGAGACTTCAGACCTTCTCATTTTATCTTGCTTGTACTTAGTCAAAAGGAGAGACCTCTCTGCATGTGAGCACAGACGCTTTTGGCCAGTCTGGCTTTAGTCTGTGAAGGAAAGCTTGCCTGCGGGATTTAAAAATTTTCCCTGATGGAAGGGACTTTTCAGCTTTCTGTATGCACTGGTTTTCTTCTCTTCTTTCACCTGAACAAATTCCAGCATTCCTGTACTACGTAGCAAGTACAGTTGCTGCAGATCTTTAATATTCCCAGTGAGTACACCCAACTTACCGTCTGGATACCAAATGCTTCTTTCCAGGTCTGTGCCCAAGATGTGTGTTTCAGTAACCACGAGAGGGTGCTCAGAGCGATTTCTCCCTTTGTCTGCATTTCCTGCGGCCCTCTGCATCGCTGAAGTCCTGCCGAAGCAAACCTTAATCTGACCTCGCACATGTTTATCCCTCCTCCCACCTTGTTCAGCAAGGAGAGATATATAGATGTACTGTTTCAGTCGATTACGTTATGCTCTTCCCGCGGCCTCGGCTAAGTGTTGCCCTATCAAGTGAAATTCACTTCCAGGTAGCTACAGTTAGTCCTGAAATATGCAGGGTCTTGTACCTGCACCTGAATTGATGGGTTTCCTGTTCCTGAGAAATGAGCGGGAGTTATAAACATCTGTGCTTTTTCTAAAGTGTAATGCTTTCCAGTCATTCTGTCTTCACCAAGCGTAACTTACTTGCCGACAAAAGTGCATGAGCAGCGCTCCTCTTTAATAGTCTGCTATCGGGGCTGCTGTGTTGGTGCTGTAGAATGGTGAGACGCCAAGCTGTGAACCACCATATGCACTTGGCAGTCTTTGTCTGGTCTTTGTTCAGCCAACCTCTTAGCCTTGCCACCTATAAAGATAATGAATGCAAAATGGTCCTCTGCTTGCTCTTAAAATTAGATGCTCAGCTTAAAGAAAAAGTAGATAACTTGATGCTTTGCAGTAACTAGGAATTTCAAAATAAGGGCTGACAGTTCACCAGCAGCACTAATTTTCCTGCTTTTTGATGTTTTTTGAAGGAGGATCCTTAATGACTTTGGAAGGCGAGAAGAATGCAAGATTTCACTGCTGTAGAAAGGTGATTTGGAAGTGGAAATCGTTTTGACACTAATTGTAGGGAAGAGGGTGGATGTTCAGAAAGCATCCAGAAATAGTAAACAACCCCCTCACCCACCAAAAAACAAAATGCATTTCCTGGAAAGGCATAGTAATTCACCACAAATTCTTGTTTCTTGCACTTGGTCTTTTTCTTCAAAGCACAGCACAAAAATTAAAATCCCTGCTTGAATTAACCGCTTACTAAACTGTATTTCATGAGCAGAAAAGAGCAGCTTTAATGCCTGACCTTCCTTTTCGGAGATATGTGATTCTAGCTTGTATGTTTTTATGATCACAGTCCTTTCTAAGCTGGATTTAATGTAATAACTTGGTCCTGGCTGAGACCTCATATGAAAACTTTTAAAGGCTGGCCTCTTACAGTGATTTATCAGGCCTGTTTAGGATTGATTTCCATTATAAAACCCTGGTTACAGCATCCCAGATGTCATAATGCCTTGCAGGTTCTATATCTTATTTAAAAAAAGACCCTCAAAAATCACTAGTTGGTCTGCCAGCCTTGATTTACGCAGAGTCCTCCCGACCAGTTTATGACATCCCAAGTGTTTTTTTTTTTTTTGTTGTGTTCCACCACTCCATCCCTTCTTATCTGCCCTTTCTCAGCAAGCAGCTTCTACCCCTGCCCTACCTCCTGGCTGTACCTTTTCCTCCCCTTCGCCAGACCAGCAGACCTGAGCTGCCCAGACGGTGCCTGGTCACGCAGCACTGCAGTGGGCACACCAGCACACTGCTCTTCTGATGGCTTCCCGCAGCCGGCTGCTTTCTGCGAGCCCTGCTCTGCCACGCTGGCTGTTCGCAGGGCCCAGCTCCTCCTTTGCCAACAGATGCCGCTTCTGTCTCCCGAGGTGTTGGGCTGGAAGCTGGCTCTGCAAGAAACCGGGCAGAACCGTGCTCAGTGAAGGACAGGTTATTTGGGGGACAAGGAGGGAGAGGTACAGAATGCAAACTTCTGTCTTAAAACACACACTCCTCAGTTTGTCTGCAAGTAACTGGAAAATCACCCTTTTCCTGGCAGAGCTCTCCCTAAGCAGTTTTTCTGTATCTCTTTAAAACCTGTTTAGTTGCTCACTACAGAATGTGTGGGAATGTGGCCTAAGGCTATGAATACTGTGGTGATCAAACTGATTTTAGATGTGTGTGTGGGATTCCCCCAAAGCTGGCTGTCATTACTCCGTCAACGCGATGGCTGAACCTGCGAAAGGAACGCCGTCTTCCAGAGTAGCTGACTTTGGCAGTGAGGACAGGATTCCCCCCACGTACCCAGCAGTTTTTAACCAAATGTTTGCTACAGACTGTGCATATCCTGAGATAAACTATAGCCTGTCTTCACTCTAAGGCAAGTAATAATTCATTTTAACCCTGAGGTTAACAGGTCAAAAGTCTCCTGATGATCTTTCTTACTCATGCTAGAAAAGCCCTTGTATTTCTTCTTGTCCACCTTCTCTTGTCTTACTGATGCTTTCTTTTTGGAGGTGGCAGCTTAAGTTTTGGAGCATCAGTCTTTCTAGAAATTGTACATGGATGTAGAGTCAGGGGGTGGGAGTGAAAAACGTAGCCATAATGCCATACGCTACCTACACAATTTTTTTTTTTTGAAGGATCTTCTGACAACCTCTTTCACCAGAATTTAGCTCTATCATTATTTCTTTATGATTTTTGGCAGCTAAGCAGATGCGGTGCGATTAATAATTGTTAGGCAGATTAAAGGCATAGGAGCACAGAGAACAACAGTTGCACCCATTAACAACCTTTTGTTTTCAACAGGTTCCACTGTTTTAAATAGTTATTCGGGGGTGTTCAGGAGCACTGGTGTTGCTGTGCTGATCCAACCACCGTTTCAGCTTTTCAAAGTGGCCATTATTGGTCGTTTCAGCATAAATTCCCAAAGCACAGGCGGCTTCAACAGATACCTGCACAGTGGTGCATTGTTGTGTTGAGGAGGAGAAATTCTTTCTCTGCCATAACGAGCTGTTTGGCTTAAAAGTACAAGTTAGCCTCCAGTATGTGTGTGCATAAAATACTACAGCTTGTGTAGTACAAATATTCCGTTTCTTTTCTCCTCGCAGAGTAATATTAGGGATAAGAACTGAATTAAAGCTTACTTTCTTTCACAGAATTCCTCTGAGAGAGAAGACTGTAATAATGATGAGCCCCCTAGGAAGATCATTCCCGAGAAGAATTCACTTAGACAGGTATGTGATCAGTCTCTTTAAAAATGCAATAAAACTTTCTAGCTATTTGAATCCTTAAATGCTTCTGGAAGCTGAAGTCTGTGCTCATGGAAATCCTTTCTTTTTCTGCTTCGAAGTCTGAACGAGTCATATTGTACTCAGGAGAATCAGACACGCAGATTTAGCTTTCAGGAGAGTCTGATGACTCTTTCTAAAGAAATCTAGACTTCTGCATTGTGCAGTCAGCTGTGACTCTAGTTCTATCTTTCTTCATTTGATGTTCATCAAGACCTCTTTAACCTTTTCTTCTGTTATCGTTCCTGTCTTGTTTGTAGTATATTTTGCCTTGGTTCAGATCATACGTTCAAGAATCTCAAAGTGTTCTAGAACAATTAAGCTTTTCATTACCCTTAAAAGTAAATTTTCTTGGAGGTGATGTCCAGGTTAATAACCTGAAAAATGACCTGCTTTTGTTTCTTCAACGTTCATGTAGATTACTGACGGGTAGAAAGGAGAAAGGCTGGGCTGATAAAACAATCTCTTTGCCTTTTATATATAATAAAGCAAACTTCTTGCCAACTCAAAAGATCACTTTTTTTAGTCCCCGTGGTCAACAAAGGGGGCCTGACTTGTGACTTCTGGGGGATTTAAGTTGGATTTAGTGATTTCATATGCTGCTTTACACAGCACCTTGCTCGCTCTTCTCACTGCAGCCTTCAGGCAGCAGAAGCAAAAATACGTCCATGCCTCAGCTGCCCAAGTTTGCTGCCTGGTGTATCAGAGTAAAACCATTGATGAAGGTGACTTAAGTGAATACCCCAAGCCACACATTGCAGCAGCTGAGGAACTGGCACATTTCCTTCTGCATCTCAGCTACAGGAGCAGCAGTCTCAGGCAGAGGAATAGAGTGCTCCACTGCTGCTATTTCCAAGAGGATTTGTGGATCAAAGCTGTGGTAAAGAAAGGAATATCTTTTTAATATAGCGTGTTTGTGCTCAAAGTTGTTTTTGTGAGGGGTGGTGAGGTGAGTTTTTTGATTTTTTTTTTTTTTGATTTTTTTTTAAATAATGTATTATGCTCAGAGTACTTGATTTTGTGGGAGTAGGTGTCATGTGAAGGACTGCCTGTGGCTAAGACAGGTCCATCTAACAGATGTAGTCAGTGTTAAGTCTTTTAGACAAGAGACAATATGCTATGATAATGAGCGAGGTCCCAGATATTGCTGAGGAAAGTACTTTGCAGAATTGATTAAATATGTTACACCAAACTTAAATTTGTTTCTGATATTCAGCAACAAATAACAAAAGCTATAGGAAGAGGGCAAAGCTATCAGGTTCCTGCTATGTATCCCCAAGATAGTCAGAAAGGTGCCCAGCACACCAGAAAACTTTTTTCATCTTAGAGTTTTCTTATTGATGGAAAGCCTTCAGTTTCAGTAAGAAAAGGCATATGTCTCTTCTCAAAAAAAAAGTTCATCGTAAGAGATGTTAAATCAAAAGGAACACTGTCTTGTGTGCCTTCTCATCGCACTGAGTCCTTCCTTGCGATTCTTGGTTAAGGAGGGCACAAATATTCACGAGTAGTATTTATACAGATCAAGAAGGTATGGTTTGTCAAGTTGAGTTTCTGTTCTGTTACATTTCAATCTGCAGAAGTATTCTTAGTGTTCAGGGAAAGCTGGCTTTCCCATGGTCCCACAATCCATTGTAACCAAGGTGCCTAGGTATAAAGAATACCCCTAAAAAATATATTTGTACTGTCCAAATATTTCATATTGGAAGTAACTCACATGGGCATTGTTTATGACCCAGATGGTTAGCTGTATTTCGCGATGCTGTTGAGATGTTGTATCAGTCTCCATCTTTGTGTCATCTTTACAGTGACAGATGCAGGACAAAATCCTGGGCTCTTCTGATTGCGGTCTGGAGCCTTTTGTGTTGAGAACAGTGTTTGTGGACAAGTTCAAGCTGTAGTCTTAAAGCAAGTACCCTCTTGTCTAGATCATAGGAGGAGTTGACCATGATTTTTAGCCTGTAGTAGATGAATTCTTGTTCTTAGGCATAAATAGAAGCTGTCAGTGCATTTTGGAAACTCAGATTCCTCCTTTATTAGTGACGAACAAGAAGCAGTGGGGAGTTTTCCAACTCTAGGTGGAGAAAATGAGCACATATGGAGCCATGTGCTTTCTTCTGTCCTAATCAAGGAGTAAAGTGATACTTACTGGAAAGACCAGCATCTCCTCCAGAAAGGTGTGCAGAGTGGTCACCTTGTCTTACATCTGTCCATACTTTGTAAAACCAAAAAGATCTGACCTGCAAATGCTGTCAAAGCAGTAATACACAAAAAGGGCTGACTTCTGTACTAGCACCTAGTGGAAAGATGCTAACTTGGTAAATATTGAGTGTACAATTTCATGTTTTCTGTCCCTCTCAAGACACTGCTGTTAAAATTTCATTATTGGGGAACGTGGGCCTGCATGCACAGAAGAACTGAATGTGTGTATGTGGGGAGAGGAGAAGTCTGTTTACTTAAATGGTCTTTCTAGTGAAAGTGTCCACATATTTAGTACTTTTTGATTAGTTTTAGAAAATTAATGAGATGCATCAGACCACTTCAGGGGAAGTGTGATGTCTTGACGTGTTCAGCTGCTGACAAGTTTAAGTAAAGGTGCATTACCTTTTCTTTCCTTGTTTGCTGGGCTGGTACGCAGCCTTGGAATCAAAGAATTTGAGTTGAAAGAGACCTCAAAGATCATCTAGCTCCAACTCCCCTGCCATGGGCAGGGACACCTTCCCCTAGATTAGATTGCTCAAAGCCCCATCCAGTCTGGCCTGGAACACTTTCAGGGATGGGGCATCCGCAACTTCTCTGGGCAACCTGTTCCAGTGCCTCACCATTCTCATAGAGAAGAAGATGAGCCATAAATGTTTTCTCAAGTGGGTTTGTGGAACAGACATACCAGAAGGTGGAGGTAATAAGAAGGTGTAATGGTTACTTAATCATCTGAAGTTGTAAGCAGGGGCTGAAGACACCTATTGCTTAGTGGAGTGGACCTCTTACTAGGAGAAATATCATTCTTCTGTTAATTAAAATGGTTTTTGGAGACGAATATCTTCAGAAGTCTCAGCAAGTGGAGCTGTGTTGTCAGTGTGCTGGAAGTGGGAGGCATGGCCACTCTTAAGTTCAGGAAGGCAAGAGAGACATGAAGATTAGCACAGGGAAAGGAAACAGAAAAAGGCAATGAACTTGACACTCTTGGCTGGAACAGTGAAAAAAGATCGCAGCAATGACAGTAAGGATGCAGACATTCAGTTCTTGTTGCGTGCTTGATCTGACAAGATTAAATTTCGAAGGTGTAAACTGAAAATCGTAATATGGAAACAGACTTCAGAAAAAACAATGACAAGTGGCAAAAGTTTTTGGCAACTTTATTTAAGCTAACAAACGAATTTTCACACTGCAAAGTTATAAATTAATTTTAATAGGCTGATCCAGATGGTCCATTTGGAAAATGGATAGCTTGATCTGTTGAAAATTAAACTAAATTTATCTCTCTCATACTTCAAACTGAAGTAAGCGTGAGAAGAGTGCCCATTAAGTCCAGCTCATACAGATGGACCGGCAGGTCACACATGGGACTAATCTGATTCATTTTAAAAATAAATGCATGAGTTATTGAATCAGGTTCCTGTTTCAAGCCCTGCGTGTGAGAGTGTGTGTGTGTGCACACGCCACCCTTTCAAAGGAACTGGCAAATGCTTCAGTGCCTTTTTAACCTGTGTGTTTCCATTTTAATTCAACTTCCTTGCCAAAAAACATAATTAGTTTTCAGTGCCTATCATTTAGCGTTAGACCCAAACACTAGATTGATTAGGTCAGGCATTTGTTATTTTAAGGGCTATGTCTCCATTCTTCATTTATGAAGAACATGAGCTCAATAGTCTTGGGGAGAGAGCCGGCCTTTAGAAACTGGGAAGGGGAAGCTCTCTGGGGGCCCCTCCAGCCTTTTAGCTTCTGGGTGTTTTTAACAGAGCCATGAATGCAGATTTGTAAATTTATTGCAGTGCCATCTGTTTTTTTTGCAGGAGCCGTATTATTGTTGGCTCGTATCTGTCTATTGTGGTGGTCACTCCCCGGGAGCTTGCCCTCATAGTCCTAAGGAAAGTGATGAATAGTGGGGGTCAGCATGAATAGGTCACAGGGCAGCTGTCCAGGGCTGCCCTGAACTTGATTACCCCGCTGGTTTTTAAAGATGGGCACAATGCAGGTTGTTTAAAGTCCTCTCTCCCTTCTCTTCGGCAGAGTGATAATGAAGTGCCTTGTGCTGCTGTGGTTTGTCTGTGGGCAAAGGTGCCTTGTGGGGAAATGCTGGCAGCAGCGAGGCTGCCGCACCGTACCTCCTGCAAACCTCACGCTGGACTCTGCTGTCTTTCTGTAAGACTCCAGATGGAAGTCCGGGGGGAAAAAAAAAAAAATCCCTGCCTGTTACCCCATTCAAATAGGCCCCTTAGCTTTTTCAAGAATTTTCCCTCTTACCCTTTTGGCACAGAATATTACCTTGATTCACTCTTACGGATTTGAGATCCGTTTGTAAAATTACATGTAGCACTTGAAACATGCTCTAGGCTCTATCTCAAAGTTAAATCTGATCTGCACAGTCTGATCTTAAGAGTTTAAAGCCAGTGCAAGCAAACCGTAAGAAGCAGAAAGCGGTTAAAGAAGGTAGAGCAAAGGAAAGACAAAAAGTAGCAACTGTCAACCGTTCACTTCCAGCTGGTAGCCCCATCCTGCTGCTTAGGGCTTCTCTCCAGGAGTATTTCTCCTCAAAAGTATTTCTGCCGTGCAAAATTGAAGCCCTCTTTTTGCCTGGTGGAGAAGGTTACATACTGGGGAGGGAGTGAGGATCCTTCGGCTCCCTACCTCCTTTCCTCCCTCTCTCCCTCTGGGGAAGACGCTGCAGTTCAAATTTGCCTTCTGTTGAAAAGCTGGCCACGGCAGGACATACCTGGTCTGTAAAGGTA